CCTGAGCAGGTTAGGCTTCACTTTCAACCTGACACACCTGGGAAGAGGGGCCTTTAATTAAAGAGCTGCCTTGCTCAGATTGACTTGTGTCTGTGAGAGAAGATCTGGATTAATGATTGACACAGGGGGGCTCAGGCCACTGTGGCAGACAGGCCTGGGCTGTGTGAGCTCGCTGACCATGAGCCAGCAAGTGAATCAATACACTGCTTTCCTCTGTGATCCCTGCTTCGGTTTCTGCCCTAACTTCCCTCAGTGCTGGATTGTGACCTGGAAGTGTAAGCCAAATATACTCTTTTCTCCCCCAAGTTGCCTTTGGTCAATCTTTTATCACAGCACTCTAGAACAGGCTGTGAACTCCAGCTGGCACCCCAGCCCCTCAAATCTGGCTGTGTATCCCAAAGGGGCTCAGCTTCCATGTCCACTCACCCCTCCCCTGACCAGGCCTTGCTGTCCTGAGTATGGGGCCTGAGCCAGGCTGGCTCCTGAGGTCCCCAGTACACAGCCAGTTGTCTGCCACCTGTTTCCTGATGCCCTCAGGTCCAGAGGCAACACTTCCCCGAGGGTCTCTGGTCTGGGCCAAAGGGGACAGTGGCTTCCCTCCCCTTTTCCTACTAGGACCCACTGGGATGTGGGACAGTTGCATTTTCTTTGTTTCTTCTTTCGCAGCCCTGAGTCAATTTCAGAAGTTTGGGGCTAGGGATGCAGCCCAGTGGGTAGCATCACAAGGCCAAGGGTTGAGCTCTCAGCACCACAACAGACACACAGAGGAAACTCAGCTGGACAGTGAGTGAGGGGAGCCAGTATGAAAAGCCTCATGCACAAGGATTCCAGTTCATGATACTAGAAAAGGCAAAACTATAGAGATCGTTTAAAAAAAATTAAAATAAAAAAAAAAAAAAAAAAACAAACCAAGAGTGGCCAGGTAGTGGTGGCACATGCCTTTAATCTCAGCACTGGGGAGGCAGAGGCAGACAGATCTCTGTGAGTTCGAGGCCTGCCTGGTCTGCAGAGTGAGTTCCAGGACAGCCAAGGCTACACAGACAAACCCTATCTCAAAAGAGAAAGAAAGAAAAGAGAAAGAAAGAGAGAAAGGGAGGGAGAGAGGGAAAGAAGGAAAGAAGAAAAGAAGGAAAGAAAGAAAGAAAGAAAGAAAGAAAGAAAGGAAGGAAGGAAGGAAGGAAGGAAGGAAGGAAGGAAAGAAAGAAAGAAAGAAAGAAAGAAAGAAAGAAAGAAAGAAAGAAAGAAGCCTAGAGTTTGGAGCCTCAGAAAGCAAACGGCAGCAGGCAGTGCGGCAGAGTTTCATCATTATGTATTGTCCTAACGTTCAGGATGAGAGCAGTCCCACTGTCAACTATGGACTTTGAGACAAAAAGTTGGTTTAGGACTGAGATGAAGTTCCATACTGCCTAGAAGAATCAAGAGATCTTCACTCCGTTTTGCTAGGCAACAAAAGTACATGCAGATAGATAGATAGATAGATAGATAGATAGATAGATAGATAGATAGA